AAATATAAGATACAGTTTTTTACCCTGGAAATCTTAGACCCTAAAGATCAACTAGCAAAATGGGTCTATTGGGTCTAGGGTTTCCAACATTGATCTTTAGGGCCTTGGATTTCCAGGGAAATATATATTTATGTGAACATAGTTTACAGCTTTGTCTTAGTACCACATTAGATAAATCAAAATGCTCAAGCAACACTTTGTTCTATTTGGTATAATTCCTCTTTTCCCAATAATTTTCCTGTAGATCTTTCATGCATCTTAAATACTTTTAGAAACTTGCTTACAAAATAGACCCATGTACAGACTATGTATTTTTTTGTCTTATAATCATCTTTCTTGAATAGGCTTCACAGCAGCCATAACTCATTTCACAATTTCCCACTGTACAAACCTTGCTGTTTAAAATGCTTTGTATTATGTTGCCTGCATTTTACATTATAGTCATTGGGTACATTTTGTATTTGAATGAACTTATATTCCATTTATATGTGCTTCATATGTGCTATAAATATGCATCAAACATGTTTTATTTTTTCCCATTTTCTCTTTTTGTATGTAATAGGTTTTTTGCTTTGTGTTCTTTTTACACTTTTAAATATCCATTTTCTGTTCTAAATAGTTCTAGATAGTTCTAGACCCTTTTCCTTTTTATTTTATTTTTTTTGTGCCACTTTTAGAGCTTTCCACAATTCTGGCTTACAATCAGTCTATGATTTCTAATACTGGGGATACTAGTATGTTTTTCATTAGTGCCAAGTTTCCTCTCCTCTTTCTGTTAAGAATTAATGTCATATTATGTTAATCAAGGTATATTTTCAATTCCTGTTTTTATTTGACTTAGTTTTGGGATCCCCAAACTTCTTATTATGATGTTATTGTTATTATAAACTGTTGTTGAATCTTGTGAATATTGCTTCATAACGCTCCTCATTTGTGAACCTCATTAAATTTGTTTTCTGTAGTCAATTTATTAGTTTTTATAAGCATAAAACACAAGCTCTGAAACCTAATTACTAGAAACCTAATAACACAATCATGAGATAACACCAAGTATTATTTACTAAGGCACAAAGCCCAAAGCAATTTATTTTCATATAACTCTAAGACTAGGCATACAAAGGTCTATTAACTGAAGTCAGTAGTAGTTCCTTCATGTCTTTTGTCCAGAGAAGCTTAGTTTATGGCTCTAGCATGTTCTATACAACAATTGATTTCTCCCCTCAGGCTTTTCTGTTAAAAAGGTGATCATCATCTGTAAACTATAATAGTTCAAAATTTTTCATAAGTAAACATAGTCAAGGAGTATTTTTATTATTACATCTTATTAGTGTAATTTTATTTTATTTATTTTATTTTTTTATTTTTTTATTTTTTTATAAACATTTTATTTTTTTAGAGCTATCTGAAGTCTACATAATTAAAATCATGTCATTTATTATTGTTTATTATTTCTTTCTCTAGGTCTAAAATCCAAAAGCATTAATGATCTGATAAAGGACATAGTAAGACAACAGTTTAAAGTTTTCCAAAATGAAATGCAAGAGACTGTAGCACAGCTCTTCAAGACTGTTTCAGGACTTTCAGAAGACCTTGAAAACACCAAACACATAATTCAGCGAGTTAATGAATCTGTGGTTTCAATAGCAGTCCAGCAAAAGTCTGTTTTGATGCAAGAAAATAGGCCCACTTTGACTGATATACTAGATCTAAAAAATCACATTGCGAATTTAAGGCAAGAAATGACTTTTACGTGCGAGAAGCCTATTAAAGAACTAGAAGCAAAGCAGACACATTTAGAAGGTGTGCTAGAGCGGGAACACTCAAGAAACATCCTGTATTATGATTCCCTCAATAAGACTCTTTCTAAAATGAAGAAAGTGCATGAACAGCTTCTATCAAGTGAGCAAATATCAGGTCAAAAGGGAGTTTCAGCTGCTGAATCAGTTAGCAACAATGTCACTGAGTACCACCTTTCTACTCTAAATGAGACGATAAAGAAACAGGGTTTGATGCTGCTGCAAATATTTGATGATTTGCACATCCAAGACAGCAAAATGAACAATCTCACCATCGCGTTGGAAATGGAGAAAGATGCTTTCAGGGGTGAATGTGAAGACATGCTATCCAAGTCCAGAAATTATTTTAAGTTTCAAATTAAGGACACAGAAGAGAATTTACAAGTTTTAAACCAAACATTGGCTGAGGTTCTCTTTCCCATGGACAATAAAATGGATAAAATGAATGAGCAACTCAATGATTTGATTTATGATATGGAGATCCTTCAACCCCTGCTTGAGCAGGGAGCATCACTTAGAGAGACGATGACATATGAACAACCAAAAGAAGCGGTAGTTACAAGGAAAAAAGTGGAAAATCTAAATAGTAGTGTCAACCGTCTAAATGTTCTTATCAAAGAACTTACAAAAAGACACAACTTACTTAGAAGTGAAGCACAGAGTCGAAGTGATGCCTTAGACAGACGAATCAATGAGTATGCCTTAGAAATGGAAGATGGCCTAAATAAGACAATGACTATTATAAATAATGCCATTGATTTCATTCAAGATAACTACATGTTAAAAGAGACATTAAGTACAATAAAGTGTAATCCCGAGGTTCATCATAAATGCACCAAAGATATGGAAACTATTTTGACATTCATTCCTCAATTCCAACGTTTGAATGATTCTATTCAAATTTTGGTCAATGACAATCAGAGATATAACTTTGTTTTGCAAGTTGCCAAGGCCCTTGCAGATATTCCTAAAGATGAAAAACTAAGTCAGTTCAGCTTTCAAAAGATTTATCAAATGGTCAATGAAACCGCTTCCCGAGTGATAAAATCCCAGGAAAATATGAGTCATTTGGAGGAAAAAATGCTCTCAGCCACAATGAGTTCCAAAAATTTTGAAACTCGGTTGCAAGACATTGAGTCTAAAGTAACCAAGACACTCATCCCTTATTATGTTTCAATAAAAGAAGGCAACATGTCTGCAAATGAGAGAGACCACGCTCTTCAACTGCAGGTGTTAAATTCTAGATTTAAGGCACTGGAAGCAAAATCCATCCATCTTTCAATTAACTTCTCTTTACTTAACAAAACTCTCTATGAAGCTTTAACGATGTGTCATAATGCTTCTACAAGTATATCAAAACTGAATGCTATCATACCTAAGTGGATAAATGGTTCCCTACCAGATATTCAGCTTCAGAAAGGTCTGCCAGAATTTGTGGAATCATTGATTGAAACGAAAACTCAAATTGCCCTTTCTAATTTAACTTGGTACATAAATCAATCATTGTCTAGCACTCTTGCAACTGTTGTCAGGTCTCAGAAGCAAGTAAAATCTTTGCTGAAGAAACCCAATACACTTAAGAAACCAACAGTGAATCTTACTGCTGTCACGATAGGCCGAAACCAAAGAAACACAGACAACATTCTATTTCCTGGTAAGCTATTGTTGAAATAGTACTTTTAATCTCTCTTTCTATTTAAATGGTATTTATTGATCTGTATGGTTTAGCAAGACCTTA